CAGCCCTTCCTTGTAATGAGTAACCGGAAGGTATCATCCGCACATAAAACGCAGTCAAGAGTGTTCTTCACTTAATTCATTTCTCTTCCTGTGAGAACATGTTGAAGCTACACAGTCAGAAAGGCGATAGATACCGGCTAGTGTCTGGAAAGACACCCAGATGTCACCTGTTCGAGCCTACATAAGGGACAGAGCAACCCGCGCACTATCCTTAGCCCACACGCGATTGGTGGTGGTTGCATGCCAGCGAAGCGTCGGTACGGCGTACCGGTGTACTGTTAATGTTCTTGTTGTTATTGTGTTTTATTACAGGCAGCACGCCTGATGTGGGTCGTCAGATAAAGCTCGATCTGCCTTCGTCCTCCCTCGGAGCGGTTTTGCGCAGGGACATCAAAACATTGCAAAACACAGTTGCGTTGGAATACATGTACCTGCGACTAGTGGGGTCAAATCCCAACGGCGGGGCTTACACACTTCGTTTCACAGGTGGTTTCGAATAAATGGTCTGTGACAATCGCAGCGTCAGTCTTTCGCGGCAGAAATACGGTGGGCGTATTAACGGAATGGATTCCAGTGAAGGGGATCTTGAGCACAAAACAAATCAGGAGCCCAATAGTCGCTTCGACACACCACATCAATCTTTGAGATGATGAAGATATGAATAACTCTCGCCTCTGATTCGGATGGCAAAACCTATGGATGTTATCTTTGCTGGGGAAATGATGCGCAAGTGGGTCATCTAACTGGGTTCGTATGGAGCCCAGGAAGCCGTTCCTGGGTAGGATCATTAACATCAGATAGAATCGGTGGATTGCCAAATGCAGTTACCACGAACCAACTTATAAGGATAACTGAAAGGATGGAAAAATGAGGATAAAAAAACAACTCAAAGTGACTGATGAAAGAAAGATGCAAACTATCAGACAGTCATCGCGGGAAAATTGGGCCTTATTGTAGTGTTGCGGATTGCGATACCATGAACAACGCTGGACGTAAGCTACTAAGTGTCTTAGGAGTCACTCATACCACAGAAGCTAGCGGCTGTAAGTCGAACTTAGCCTCGGTATTTTCCCCATAGGAGATTGGAGAGAGGCAGATGACGAGCTCACAATAGCCAATTCGACTGGTGTAGACTATGCTTGTGTGGGAGAACACAACCACCCAGCCAGAAACAGAGTCAATGACGACTAAACTGGGTTCTGTTGATACGCTTTCCTTTCCCGTCTGAAGTTCATGAGACTTTTGATGTCCTTGGGTCGAGGCTTTACAGGACAGATCGCAGTTTGCATCAGTGGTGGGTTTGATGTCTCCTCTTAGTCAAAATGCTTGTCTGAAAGGTCTGATGGAGTTAACTGTGGGACAATCACTGATTATGACGCGAGGCAGTGAAAATAGCAGGGAAGCTGTCTCGTCGATGCCACCTTATCTTTGCACGATAGTCAGCTGTTGGTCCCTGTAGTTTGCTAACAAGGTGTGGGCGCCATGACCCAGAGCGTTAGCTTAGTGCGCATTAGGTCCCCTTCCTTCTCTCTTATTATGCATCATTCCTTAGATCACTGTGGTTACAGACAGCGAAATACCATTTAGACCGACTGATGTACTGCTGTTGTTGATGATGTTCTTGATGACTGCAATCTTAAGCCGTGCAGACCTTAGCGAACAGAGCGGAAACCAGCTAAAACTAGCGCGCGATTGTCGTCGCACGCGTCCATATGACGTGATGGAAAAGCATGCATTAGGTGCACTAAAGCTTCAAGACGTTCGTGTGGGAACCTTCACACAAATCCCCATAGGAAATTACGGTCATGGTCCCGAGTTTAATTTGCATTCTACGACCTAAGTTAGACGAATAAGCCAAAGTCTTCGTGTGCAATTCCGTAAGCAGTTTTACTTATCTTGCTGCCTTGTGGACTGAATCAATTACAAGCCAAACGTAAGGAAGTTAATGATGAAAGTGCCTTCCCGGAGAAGTAGACCGAAAATTATCATCTACTTACAATACATAAATGTAAGTGACCTTTCTACTCCTTCTGTTTTCCATCCATTTAAAGTTCTTCGGATTTTAAGCATTAAGACTGACAATGAACATCTTGAAAAATACTTGGAACCAATCGAAAAGTCATGATTTCAGAAAGGTTTGAAAGTAACCGGTTGGTAGTTTATAGGGGCAACCCTCTGCTTTTGACACAAGAGCTTTGTCATGTCGAATGAATCAATCGATGATTAGTACAGCACTTATAGCGAACTGGGAAGAGAATCAAGACGAATGGGATGTACGTAGAAGATCAATCGCTTTACAAGGTCATACATGTAAGCCCTGTTAGTGATGGGCGTGGAGATGATGTGATGCTCCTTCTCTGCTCCGGATCCGTCCGTCCGGTCAATAGTTAGAGAACACGCACTTGTTTGCGCCAACATCCGGGTGCGTTTCGGTGGACGTCCGCAACGTCGCACTGAGTTCATTGACAACAGTCAGGCATTCTGAATTTGTATCAAAGTGCGCTGACATCCGGACTAAGTTAGCGTCCACTGAATACCATCGAAGATCACTAGCCGCGTATTCGTCAAACGTTACTATCAGCAGGCATATCTTCATGTGGCAAATCAAATTACTAAACTGGACACTGGATCTCTACACAGTCTCTGAAACTTATGGATGCTCCACGACGTATTCCGGCTGGAAGCGAATACAATGAGGCCCGAAAAAAGCTCAGGGCAGAACTACGTGCTAGCCTGAAGAAAGACCGCGAAGCCTGGGGGTCTCATCGTGCCTCGGAGATGAAAACAGCCGTTACCGTTGGTAATCATCGTAAGTTATCCCGTCTGATACGGGAAACAGGTAGCAGACCTGGTGTTAGCAAAACCATACGCGAGGAGAGTGGGCAGCCGATTCACAGCCTGTCAAAACGCTTGGAGTGTTAGGCTGAACACTTTGCAAGGTAATTTAACCAACCTGGGTTATTGCTTTCTTCTGCGAGCATTAAGCGCCCTTCTCTCTGGGACGTCTCCTTGGATCCGCCCTCACGCGCAGAAGTCGACGTGAGATCAGGCTGTTGAAATTGCATAAGGCCACAGGGGCAGATAAAATTCCCCCAGCCCTCTTCAAATTCCGGGGGACTTGCTCTAGTATATGATTTACACGAGCTGTTAAGGGAACTTTGGGAGCAGGAGACTGCCCGACAGACTAGAGCCGCTCGTCATTATCCCAATTTTCAAGGGAACCTCCCGTTCGGAATGCGGCAATTATCGAGGGATCAGTCTGATCTCAATCGCCACAAAATTGTTTGCGCCTGTCATTCTCCACAGACTGACTGGCACACATGAAAGCTAGATTCGTGAAGAGCAAGCCGGGTTTCGTTGACGTCGGGGCTGCATCAATCCTGCGTCAAGTGTTGGAGCACCGCCATGTTTATTGGCGAGCCACCGTTGTCGTGTTTCATGACATAAAAGGTGTCTTCGACTCAGTCGATCGATGTGCACTTTGGGACTGTCTGCTGAAGATAGGTGTGCCTGATAAATACCTAAACATTATCAAAGCGATGTACGCCCATAGTTCGGGTTCATGGCAAACTGTTGCCATCGTTCAGTATCACCAGCGATGTGAGACAAGGTTGGCTGCTGTCATGTTTCCACTTTAACTTCGCAGTTGACGAAGTCATGGAAACAGCGTTCGCCGGACACGACGTAGGTGTGGAGCTACTTCCTGGTGAGCAACTTCTTGACCTGGAGTACGCGGACGATATTGCCCTCATATGTGACAGCTCCCAAACATGCCAAGTAGTACTGGACCGATTAGCACTCTATCGTTTTGGTCTATGCTTTGCTTCATCGAAATGCAAAGTCCTTCTCCAGAATTGGCAGGGACCCATTCATTCATTCAGTATACACGTTAGCTAGAGGTGGAAAACACCTCAGCTACCGTGCCGCAATACCTCCTCGTGATGCCAGCTGGGTGGTCCGGGATTATCTCGGTCCAGCGAATGGTTCGGCAGCAGTGTTCCAGGAGGTGGTGGGTTTTTCGCTTGGCAAGCGTTCTTCTCATAAAAAGCCACGTGTCCGGTTAACAACACTGCGAGGTGGCGGATGTGACTCGCCACTAAATAAAGTCACTGGCCCTTGTTTCAATTTGGCGAAGCATTGTATCCCAGCACCTTGCCGCTGAAATGGTGGGGAAAATCGGGGCCCCAGTTTGGCTACTCACCAAACGAAAGGCGTATGTACTGAGCAATAAGTCATGGGCTCCAAATGGGTGCGAATCTCTGACTTCGCTCCGCTGCCTTGCGGGTGAGCTATTGAGTCAAATGCTCTGGGTGTAGTCCCCTAAGACAACTCCCTACTTCGGCTTAGACAACCGGGTAGTGAAAACCATGGATTTCGCAGTTACGTCGCTTACTTCTGCTGCTACTGTAGCAACCCAAAAGATATTTCTTGTTTTTTGTACACTTTTATTACTCAGTCATAGAATATTGCTTTTTGTTTTAATGCCGACTCTACGGCCATTATGAACTGCATCCGGCTCACCACTTTTCTCCACGGTGAGTTCCGGCACTGACGTACGCTCTCGTCGCTTCATTCGTTTTTCGTTCGATTGTAGCCTTCCGCGAATACAATCCGTTGTGTCCGTCTTTCTGGTTTTCTGGCATCCCTACCAGCGCGAGAACACTCTCGGACTAGTATAGACTAGTCCTACAAATTGGTGACCCCGATTCGCACGCGCGAATCTTCAACTTTTTTGATCGTTTCGTTTTCGGTGAGTTCGTTCCGAGTTGTTTTTTTCCCTAATCCCTGGTGGATTGTTTTCCGTCCATTTCGTTTTTAAAACCATTCGTGTTATTCATATACTATGTCTGACGCCGATGTAAAACCCGGATCGGGCGGCAGCATGAATTTGCTCACCTTGGCTGTTCCGGATTTTATGGCACACAAGCCCAACGTCTGGTTCGCCATTTTTGAGATAGAGTTAGAGAACAGAGGGATCTCTTCCGACCAAGCTAAATACAACCAACTCGTCCCACGCCTTCCGCAACAGGTGGTGACATTGGTCGAAGACGTACTGCTTCATCCACCTAAAGACGGTAAATACGAAGCAATGAAGCAGTTGATCCTAAAGGAGTCGCAACCCAGCGCTCGTGCTCGATTGGAGCAACTCTTTCATAGCACTAAGCTAGGCGATCGCAAGCCTTCGGTTTTGCTCCGCGATATTCAGCAGATTGCTGGCCCTTCGTACATGAGTGAAGAAGCATTAAAAGAACTGTGGCTCTCACGCTTACCTGATCCTCTTCCTTTAATGCTCGTAGCATATCCAAATAGATCACTCAAAGAGTTGGCAATAACCGCGGACGCAGCCTTTGAGAGAATCCCTCAAAACATGAAGGCATCCAGCAGCATTTTCGTCACATTAGCGGATAAAGACTTGAATGCAAAAGCGCCCGCGCAAGCAGACCCCAGAGACGAAGAGATAGCCGCGCTTCGCCGTGAATTAGCAACCGTGCAGTTAGAAAGACAAGGCTTGCTAAGACCGCACGCTGACCACGAAATTGCCGCCGTTCGTCACGGTGCCTATCAGCCCCGACCCCCACCGTACAGATCCAGGTCACCGCGCAGACGCAGTCCATCACCCCCTCGCAGCCGAACCCGAAGTGCCAATTTAATGGATGATTTGTGTTGGTATCATCGCCAGTATGGTGATAACGCTCGACGTTGCCGTTCACCCTGCGCCAAGCGTGGTGTAGTGGCACAGGGAAACTAGTTCGCCGGCACGTGAATGCGGCCCACGCGTCCGGCAGCGACAAAACAGGCCGTCTGTTTTACGTCAAGGATAGGCGCTCCCGCCTCACTTTCCTTATCGACACAGGAGCCGAAGTGAGCGTTATCCCTGCCAGCGCGCATGACAAGCATACAAAGCCCACGTACAATTTACGGGCAGCCAACGGCTCGCCGATAGCTTCATACGGTCAGCGCATGATGAACCTAGATTTAAATCTCCGCAGAGACTTTCACTGGGTTTTCACGGTTGCGTCAGTACCTTTCGCAATTATCGGCATCGATTTTCTTCGCCATTTCGGATTGCTTGTCGACGCGGGTCGCAACAGAATTTTAGATGATCATACGAAACTAAGGGTTGATGGTGTCCTTTCAGATGCCCCGATAATCAGCCCTGTATTTCGGATCGCAGACGCACCGTCCGACTACTTGAGCCTCCTCTCCGAACACCCGCGACTGGTTCGACCGGCTGCAGAGCTTCCACCAGTCACGACAGAGGTCGCTCACCACATAGTTACGCGCGGTCAACCAGTTAACGCACGACCAAGACGGCTTGCTCCAGACAAACTACGGGCAGCACGAGCCGAATTTGACCACATGCTTCAACTTGGTATCGTCAGACCGTCCAACAGCCCATGGGCGTCGCCTCTGCACATGGTCCCGAAGAAGGTCATGGGGGACTGGCGTCCTTGCGGCGACTACCGATCCTTGAATACGGTGACCACGCCCGATCGCTATCCGATCCCACACATAGTGGATCTCACCGCCAGTCTGGCGGGTAAAAGTATCTTCAGCAAAATCGACTTGGTACGCGCATACAACCAAATTCCGGTAGCCGAAGCGGACATCGCTAAAACTGCCGTGACGACTCCATTTGGTTTGTTCGAGTTTCTGCGCATGCCATTTGGCCTAAAGAACGCCGCGCAAACTTTTCAGCGTTTCATCGACCAAGTTTGTCGCGGTTTAGACTTCGCTTACGCGTATCTTGACGACATTTTAATCGCAAGCTCTTCACGAGAAGAGCACATACGCCACGTACGAACACTTTTTGATCGTTTATCTCAACACGGGGTGACGATCAACGCAGAAAAGTGTTCGTTTGGTGTCGATTCAGTCAATTTCCTGGGCCATCGTATCTCTTCTGCAGGCGTCGTGCCACTGCAGGATAAAATTCAAGCCATCATCGACTACCCCGAGCCTCATTCTTTCAAACAGCTCAGGCGTTTTGATGGCCTGGTCAACTTTTACCGACGATTTATACCCAACTGCGCCTCGCTGATGCAACCCCTCACGGACCTTCTCCGAGGGAAACTCAAGAAGTTCGAATTTCCTGCCGCAGCACGCGCTGCTTTTAAGTCGCTGAAAGAGGCTATCGCCAACATAGCTTCTATAGCGCATCACGATCCGGCCGCCCCACTGTCCCTCAGTACTGACGCCTCGGACGTGGCAGTCGGCGCTGTTTTGCAGCAACGAGTAGCCGACACGTGGCAGCCCTTAGCGTTTTTCTCCAAACGCCTACAACCTACCGAATCTCGCTACAGCACGTTCGGTAGAGAACTACTAGCCGTATATCTAGCGATACGTCACTTTCGACATGTCCTAGAAGGCCGCTCCTTTGTCGTCTTCACCGACCACAAACCCCTGACTTACGTGCTCGGCTCGACTACCGACCGATACTCTCCTAGAGAGTCGCGCCACCTTGACTATATCGCTCAGTTTACGACCGATATACGGCATGTCTCAGGTGTGCACAACGCCGTCGCCGATGCACTTTCCCGCATCCAAGCTATCTCCGCTGACGCCGGCACTGCTATCGACTTGGCAGCCATGGCCACAGCACAACTCAACGATCCTGAGGTTGATCTACTACGCAGGTCTCCCTCATTGGATATACGACCCGTTCCGCTGACATCATCAGACGGAACGATACTCTGCGATTTATCTCTGGGCACGCCGCGCCCAGTCGTCCCACGCGAGTTTCGGCAGACCGTGTTCGACGCGTTGCACGGCTTGTCTCATCCAGGCGTTCGTGCATCGGTTAAACTCGTAACCGCACGATTCGTTTGGCGCAATGTTAATCGGGACGTCCGTACCTGGGCAGCTGCTTGCCTTCCGTGTCAACGCGCGAAGGTGCACAAGCACACGAGAAGCCCATTAGGCACGTTTCCGACGCCAGACGCACGTTTTCATCACGTGCACGTCGACCTCGTAGGTCCTCTGCCGCCTTCCAAAGGCTCTGTATATCTACTGACCTGCATCGATCGATTTACTAGATGGCCTGAGGCCGTCCCCATCCCAAATTGCTCCTCGGAAACGGTAGCGAAAGCTTTTATGGAGCGCTGGGTAGCTCAATACGGCTGTCCCGCCATCGTGACCACCGATCGAGGGTCACATTTCTCGTCGACATTTGCCATGTTGCTTAAGGATTTAGGCTGTCGCCACGTCCAGACGACGGCGTATCATCCGGCCGCTAACGGCATGGTGGAGCGTTTTCACCGCCAGTTGAAGGCAGCGCTACGTGCGCACGCAGATCCTTCATGGTCTGAAACGCTTCCCCTCGTTCTCCTAGGCTTAAGAAACACGGTAAAGGACGACTTCGACGCCACACCAGCGCAGCTTGTCTACGGTTGCACGCTGCGATTGCCCGGACAGCTGGTAGCACCAGCCCCATGCACTTCCACTTTTGACTACGGAAGTTACACCGATCGACTGGCCCACCAGATGCGTGAGCTACGTCCACCCGCTCCTCGATCGCAGAAGACACCAGTGTACGTGCCCGAGAAGCTGTCTACTTGTTCACACGTCCTTCTTCGCGCAGACGGTGTTCGACAGCCTCTTCAGTCGCCGTACATAGGACCCTTCAAGGTGCTGCATCGTGCGAGTAAGGCGTACACTATTGACCGCGGTGGTCGACACGAAGTCGTCACCATCGATCGTCTAAAACCCGCCTTTATGGAAGAAACTACCTCGCCTACTTCGTCTAGTAGTGCCTCGTGCGACATCACAACTCACCGTACCAGTTTTCCGCATGCTAATGAAGACCAACCAGACCACGATCACGGTCTGCAAGCTTCAGCAGTCCCGACATCACCCGAACCTAGTCCGCCGCCTCCCACGACCAATCGCCGTGGTCGGGAGGTACGTAAGCCCGTTCGCTTCTCCGACTATGTACAGTGTAAATACTTCTAACTTTGTAGATATTGTATATATTTGCCCCATTTTTGGTCGATTAACGTTTTGAAAACAAACAAAAATATCAAAAAACCTCAGCAAAAACTTTATCGAAAAAATATTCAAAAACCAAAAAATATTTAAACACAGCTCATTCGTTTGTTCTTTTTTGCGTTTTCTGCGCGTGTTTTTCTATTTTCTCGCCTTTACATGCCCCAACCCTCCCCTTCGATCGACTGGCCCACACGAGGAATGTTTTCGAGGACCCTGACGCGAACACTGATCGCTTCTCCGCGGGACGAGGATCGCTTCTCCGCGAGACGAGGGTCGCTTCTCCGTGGGACCATGGTCATTTCTTCGTGGGACGAGGGTTGTTTTGGCGTGGGGCGGGGTGCGAGACCACTCCCAAGCGCACCGTTTGGCAACCGCGGAGGTTGAGGTCCTGTCGGTCTTTTTCTGGACTAGCCAGTTTTTTGTAGTCCGACAAGCCCGCTCCAACGGCTCGCCGAAATGCACCCTGCCCTGCAATCAATAAATAATAAAGACCGGACGGCACAGCGGATACAAATTTTCGGCTACATTTTTTTTCCGAACCCGAGCAGACTCTTCTTTGTATACCAGAACCTTTTGCGAACTTGGATCCACAACCAGTTGATTTCGAAGGCTTCTTCGTTCAGCCTTCTAGGAGGGGAGCTTTGTAGCAACCCAAAAGATATTTCTTGTTTTTTGTACACTTTTATTACTCAGTCATAGAATATTGCTTTATGTTTTAATGCCGACTCTACGGCCATTATGAACTGCATCCGGCTCACCACTTTTCTCCACGGTGAGTTCCGGCACTGACGTACGCTCTCGTCGCTTCATTCGTTTTTCGTTCGATTGTAGCCTTCCGCGAATACAATTCGTTGTGTCCGTCTTTCTGGTCTTCTGGCATCCCTACCAGCGCGAGAACACTCTCGGACTAGTATAGACTAGTCCTACACTACTCGTGCTTCTCCATCACATACTAACTTTTCTCTTGTTGTTAATGTATAACCTGTTGAATCTACTTCCAATGCCCGTCTCACTGGTATCCAAATCATCCGGCCATCAGCTGTCTTTGGACCCCGTTCTCCATTCCGTCTGGCAGCGTTCAATGTTCGGACCCTCCTATAGATTGGACAACAGGTTGGCCTGGCGCGCACTCCAGAGTCTCACGCTATCGATGTTTGTTGCTTTTCAGAGACTGGACTACAGGATCCCAGCACCGTGGTTAAATTGTCGTCCCCAGCTGCTCTTGAGACCACATATTACCTACGTCTGTCTAGTGACATGGAGGCAGCAACAGCCGGCTTAGCTGGCGTCCGTATCACACTGAGTGATAAAGCGGAGGCTGAATTACTCGGCTGGTTTCCAATCGACAGTCGTCTGTGTGCGGTTCGACTTCAAGGCTCATATAGAATCAGCAGACATCGTGAAGAGAGGCGCAATTTGTTTGTCGTTTCTGCCTACGCTCCAACCGACTGCAGCTGTGCATCGGTTAAGGATGACTTTTATCGTGGTCTCCACAACCTTTTGAACAAGGGCGAAAAGTCAGATATCATCGTCCTTGCCGGAGATCTCAATGCACGAGTAGGTCGCCTGCTTCCGTGCGAACGACATCTTGGTGGCAGTCACGCGCTTGATGAAAGCCGTTCTGACAACGGTGATAGACTTCTCACGTTATGCGAAGACCACCGTCTGTTTCTCGCAACTAGGAACTTTAGGCATATCAGAAAACGCGCAGCCACCTGGCGTCCTCGTTCACCAACGCTAGCGTGGTCACAAGCAGATCACATTGCAACCAGCTTTAGATGACGAGGCAGCGTCCGGGGTTGTAGATCGATTTGGCCTAAGTACCTCGATCCGGATCATGATTTGGTCTGCGCATACATCTGCATGCGCTTCAGCGGCTCCACAAAACGAAAGCTCTACACACTCGACACCAACAAGTTAGCTGACTTCTCTACTCAATCAACTTATCAAGCTTCCTTATCGCATGCATTCATTGGGGCTCCACCACTAGACATTGAAAATCATTGGAGTTTCCTGCGTGAAGCGATGCTAACTTCCAGTCATTCAATCTGCGGAATCACAAGGCGTCCACTGAGGGGCTGGATATCCGCACAATCAGCGGAACTGTTTGATCGTCATACAGTTATCCCGGCCGATTCAAATAGCAGTGCACTGCGTCGTATACTAAGACAACAACTTAAGCAAAACCTGCGTTCGCATTGCGAAACTTCGTGGTCCCAGCGCGCATCAGAGATGGAAACATTGCCCACTTTGGAAACTTCCGCAAGCTATTACAGGTCAATCGGGTAATGGTCAGAAAAGACCTGGTGTCAGTGAGGTCAATTGCGAGGTTGACTGAACGCCGACAAGAAACTTACACAGGCCCATGGACCGCTGAGCCGAACACTTCCGCATACATTTCACAAAACTTAGTAGACGACGATGGCGATACACAACGTTTCGCTTTTGACACAAAAGCTTCATCGGGCGAAGTGAAGTAGCTTAACATGGGCATTGTATAACGATCATGGTTAAGCTACATACAGAGACTAATCAATTTTGCAATTCATCTGGGACAGATTACAACG